AGAGTTTTTATGTTTATACCTAAACGAAAGTTTACAAGGCGATATATGACAAATATTTAGGAAAATCTTGATTAAAATTATAATGTCACATCGGATATTAAGATTTTATAACTAAATAGTTAGTCTTGGTTTCCTACTGTCACCAACAAAGATAAAATAAAATACATTTAGAAATCTGATTTCATATTTTCAATTAACATTTAATTTCATTATTTACTAATCTTTGTCAGTATGCTTGTGCGTGTGATGTGTGTGTGTATACATGTATATCATAGGTACAGTAGTACTTAGAGTAGGAATGAGCCAGATGTGCAACATGTGCAAACAGGTAGGCGGGAAGCACTGCATATGTAGCGATGGCCCAGATTGTTTATCAAAATAGTATTTTAAATATATTCTCAATAGGTCATCAGAACTGTTACGCCTCTGTGTTCGTTTGTTAATTTTTCGTAGAACATCTTTACTTGTATCGCTGAAGTTTCTCGGCGTAGAACTTCTTTCCGAGAAACTTCAGCGATACAAGTCTTTTCTTAAATAAAACTAGTTTATTCTTTCTCACTTCAACTTTGCAATACATTTAATTTCTACAGTTGCTTTAACTTAAATGAGAAAGAATTACAACTTTGTAATACACAGAATTTCCACAGTCACTTTAACTTAACTACTTTATAAACACACGCTATAATTCACAGTGATTCACACACTTTTCTTACGGTGCTTACTGTTCGCTTGACTTAATTATCTATCTCTATATCTATCTATCTATGTAATTCTATCCTCTTTTGCTGGCTTTATTTGCCGGGCTTATATGCTAAAAAAGAGGGCGCCTGGAACAAACTAGAGTTGCCAGGAAAATTCATGATTCTTCGAGAAACTCCAGCGTGCATGCTCCCAGCGTTGCGTGACTTCCGCTGTCGTAACAATATTATAAATACTTGGAAGTTAGTAAACATTTAATTTAGTGCACGTCAATTTTCTCCAGTCACAGTTACCTTAACCACATCAATATTTTATGATGAGAACTACTAAAGCCACAAGCACAAGGCTAATGAAGGTATTGTTTATTTGAGGCATTGTGGGAAACGCTTTGTATTGATTCCTTGTAAAAAGCATTTGGGAAGGGGGTTAATGTCAGTTACATAGGTAAGCATCAAGGTACCGGAAAAAGGTGGCATTATTGTTTAATCACTTCAGTAAAGCTTGTGGCCTGGCTTTAAATACAGTAGCATTGTAGAAGTAGTTTTTCCAGTTTATCGTCTTCTCTACCCAAGTAGCTAGTGTCTCGTAAAACTGACGTATTTTTATGTCATATTATCTGTCTATCTAATCTGTCTATCAGCGAAACTAATGGTAGCAACTTTAGTGTCTGTCTGTCTGTATTTTTTGTTCACCGTTTTTCTCTGCACCAGGGAAGCATATTGACATTTCTGAGCAACCATATGATCATTAATTTTGTAGTGTTTTTTACCCCATAATACCCCTTGTTTTGTTTTTCAGTTAATTTCAGTTGTAGATATTCATATATAAACACTGACACGTTGTTAATTTGAAACTGGAAATAAGAAATGTACCAACTTTAAAACTTTGTTACCAGTTCCAGAACAGAGATGACTTAATATATATACTAATCAATTTATTTTTTAAACAAATTCCTGAATACGTAGCGGATGTGTTATAAAGAAGCCGTGTTTTGTTATCTCTCATACCTGCGACTTCCGTGATCCGTGTTGTCGACAAAGAAAGCCTCCTGGTGGCTCGAGCCAAAAACCCGATTCGTTGTATTCCTGCTAAATCAGAAAAAGAAGAACAGGGTTGTATATTGTAAACCAACTCATAACACAAACACTTTATAAAATTGCTTTTCAAACTTTATATCACATATATTCAAATATGTCCGATTCATTATACCAGAATTACGTCATCACTATTACTTCATAGTTTCGATGCTAAAAAACACCACTGGAATTTGAAGTTTGGTCAAAACACCTGTCTTCCTTCCATATCAACATGTTACACGACTTAGATTTGAAACTGTGTTGTTTACAGGTTGCTTAGAGAATAGTTTACTGCTTACGCAATCGTTAACAGAATATTTTACACATCAAAAAGCAGCCCTTCGATTTAGAGTTTTGGTTTGTTTGTTTTGAATTTCGCGCAAAGCTACACGAGGGCTATCTGCGCTAGATGTCCCTAATTTAACAGTGTAAGACTAGAGGGAAGGCAGCTAGTCATCACCACCCACCGCCAACTCTTGGGCTACTCTTTTACCAACGAATAGTGGGATTGACCGTCACATTATAACGCCCCCACGGCTGAAAGGGCGAGCATGATTGGTGTGACCGGGATTCGAACCCGCGACCCTCAGATTGCGAGACAAGCGCCCTAACCACCTGGCCATGCCGGGCCGAGAGAGTTTTGGACCCATGACAAATAACCCACTTTGTAACAGATAAGAACAGCTGTTCGCCACATTTTACCGTATTTCTTCCATGTTACATTACAAAGTTTAGACACTTTTCCACATATTCCTCCGCCCAATCAGGTGGCTCAGCGGAAGTATCAATGCTTCTAACAATAAAATTCGAGATTCGACGACCGCGGGGACAGGGTTGCAGTTAGCCCACTTGTATATTCGCAATTTTCTTTTTGTCTAGTGTAAAACCTACAGCTGAGCTAAAAAACACTGACCAGAAACATTCTACATATAAACACGGAAATTATCAGAGAAAACAATTATACTAAGACCAACACGAAATAAGCAAATCCCCCGCAAAATACTGAAATATCCAAACAAACTATGTCAGAGTCTTGTTACGGCTTCAGGTGAAATCGCCACACAGCTTTTTTGAATCATATTGAACAATTAGGTCCATTTTTAGTCTTATTAGTGTATAAGA